ACAACAAACAAGAGATTGATGAAGTTAGAGACAAATGGTCTATTGGCTTGATGTTTAACCCATTCTTATTGATGAATGGGTTAATAAAACGCTTCTTAGCTGATACTTTACGTTTAAAATTAGTTTATGTTTATTGGCTTAATGTTTAGTAGTTTTGTTGAATTGTATTATTTATATTAGTTTTATGTTTAGTATCTTGAATTAGTTTAATGAATTGTGTTCTTTATATTAGTTTCATGTTTAGTAGCTTGAATTAGTTTAATGAATTAGTTGATATTGAATGTTAAATTGCTAGCTGCGCAGGTTCTGAAAATTGATACAGGTTGGGGTAGAAACCATAAAACAATTTTAGTATAATAAAAAATAAATAAATATACGACGTCGGCTTTACGTTAAAAGCCGACGTCGTATATTAATTTTGTTTTTTAAACAATACGACTTCGGCTTTACCTTAAAAGTCGACGTCGTATGTTAATTATGTTTTTTTTTTTAAATAATACGACGTCGGCTATATGCAAATAGCTGATGTTGTATATTAATTATTTTTTTAAACAAACATAATACGATGTCGGCTATATGCAAACAGCTAGCCGACGTCATAAGTTTATTTTTTAATTTTAATAAGATATACGACGTATCAACGGTCATACTTCTTATCGAAATAATATCAACGGTCACAAAATTAATATACAATTAATTCGTACAGACCATAATGACCTATTTCAAAACACCTAAGTAACTGAGAAGTCCGTACATATGAAAAGTTAATTAACAATTCAGAGCTGACCAAAGCATCTGAAATAAAAGCACCACTGGGTGCTTAAAAAAGCACCAAGGACTCGTGCTGATGCCCCAATTCGGTGCTAAGCACCAAATTTGGTGCCTAATTACTTAGCACCACTCGTGGTGCTATGTAATTAAGGTGCACTTAAGCACCATTAAGTAAGCTTCCTAAGCTTAATTTCAAAAACCTTTGGTACATAAGCCCTCAAAGCTTAACAACTCGTATAGTGCTTAGAACTTTATTACAATGCTAAACATAATTAGTATTTCATTGTAATTTTGACTTCTCCCAAATAGGTTCACTTTGAGAATCAATTTCGCATTCACCTATTACTCATTTTGAACGTACAATATATCAAATTCTTCGTCTCACAACGAAGAGTGCAAATTCACTTTGACCCGACCAAAATCGAAAGTGGACACTACGCATACATTTGTACCACAAAATAACCACTCAAAAATGTCATATTCCAACGTTATCTTCGCACTTGGCTCTAAGCTCTGATTTTGTAACTTTATTTCACATCACCAACTTGCTTTATTTTAGTAGCTTTCACTTGCCTAAAATTTAATGCATAAAATTTTGATTTCAATTTAAGATGGACTTTCCAGTAGTATATGAACTTTAATACTAGTATGGCAATAATTCAACATGGAGTTTTTTTTTTTTTTTTTTACCAACTTGCATTTGTCGTATGTTGTACAACTCCTGTACAAGAATGCATACGAGAAATGCAAGTTCTCGTATTTGTATTGCGTTTGTCATATTTTAGGTGAAAAAAATTCAGAAATTTGACAAATTCAAGTGCACTTGCCCTTTTTTATTACCATAAACTTCCAAATGAGTTTTTCCTTCTTGTGTCTAAATTTTAAAAGTTGCATGTCCATTCCTCATGAAATTTACCCATTTCAGTTTTTTTTTTTTTTTTTAAAAAAAAAACCAACACACCAACAAATGCACACTCGACAACTTCAATTTTGAAGCTAAAGGCATGAATCCTCGATCAGGATGTTGGACCGGGTTGATAATGACACTACACCAGGCTATACAATCTAAGAGCACCAACGTTTTCGGGTTTTTTTTAGTGTTTTTAGTTGGGTCAAGCATAAGGTGGAGGAAAGATAGTATATAAGAGAGAAATGTAAGGAGCTCCTAAGCTAGAAGTAATGGTTTTTCGTATGGCCCACTAAAAAATAAACATTAAAAACAACCCATTGTTGTGCACGTTGTGTGCATGCACATGCAAGATGCGCCCATTTGAGCATGTAAATCTATTTTTTTGACATTCCATTTCTTTTTTTTTTCTTTCAGTTTTTCATTCAATTCCTACACGTACGTCCTGAAACAACCTGCAAATAAACCAAATAAATAAGGTTGCTCTAACATAACATATTATTGTAACTACTTCCGGTCATTATTATCATCACCCAGTGCATTCACAACATTTTCTTCACGTTTTTCCCATTCTACAACTATTGCATGTGCCTAATGCTCAAGTCTGAGCCTCTTTTCCCTCTTCCATCAATCTTGTGCAAGTCTACTTTGGTTTCAAAGTTGGCCGGTGGCTGCTGCTTGAATTTTCCAAACTGACTGAGAACTCAGCCAGAAAAGTGTCACTCTATCACCTAGACTTCGTCATCCAGACGTGATATTCATTTAAACTGCACTAAAAAATGCAATTGAAAAACCAACACATACATTAAGTGATTTGGCATTGTGTAAAAGAATAGAAATATCTTTGTAGATACATGAGTAGTGTCTTCTTTCATATTGTCAAGTTGGTCTCTATATGATGCTTTTAAGACATGACTGGCCTGGCCAAATCTTTTAGGAGCACACCTCCTAAAAATAGAAAGTGGTTAGTCTGGCTCAACTATTGGTGCAATGGCTTTGCCTTAAACGTGTGATGTTAAAAATTAAATTTGATCGTACTAGTGACTAATAATTTCACGGATCACTCTATCAGAAAGTAGAAACATAAAATATAAAAGAAATAAAGGAATAAATAATATAAAACTAAAAAGAATATTTGTATTGATGCATGACATTGAAAATTACAAATGGTAGCCATTATATATGTGTACCAGCTACCATTTCGACTTTCTTATATCACTAATACAAAATACTTTTTCTAGATTAATACAGAGTATTATTTACTTCGTTATTGTTTTGTTTTTTAAATTTTACATTCATTCCTTTTTAATGGCTGGTACCTATTAGATGATATTTAATTTTTTACACACGATCTTGGTTTAATATATTTTGGAATGAATTCATACATACATATATATATATATATATATATATATATATATATATATATATATATATATATAAATACATATATATATATATATATATATATATATATATATATATAGACATGCACTCGGGTGCGAACGGCTCGCCCAGGCGCGAAATAGGAATTAATTACAACCGTTGATCGGCGTTCATCCAACGAGCATCATTCGTATTAACTTTCTCGCGTTTTGCCGTTTGTAAGGTCATTCTTGTCTTTTTAGGCGTTTGTTTTCAAATTTGTATTCTATCCTTGTTTATTAGTCGTCGTCTTCATTATTCGAAATCAAAAGCTCGATCTGGTGATCGCATAGGCGTTGCAATTCTTCTTCTGCGGAGGCATTCATCACCTGTGTATCATACGATCGCAATGGAGCCAGGTATTGGTCTGTTTATATTGATCGCTTAAGATGAATTGCTGGTATCTTGGTTACTGGTTTTAGTTGAATTTGTAATTCGGTCCTCGTGTTTCCATAGGTAACTGCATTGAAGGTTTAATTTACATTTAGCTAATTCTAGAAATATTGCACACATAATTGTCGGTCCATCTGTAATGGATGCAATTTTTTTGTTACTTAGTTGCATCGTATATATTATTTTACTTGCACACTATGGGTTATGTACTTGCAATACTGGTATATTTATATTCATTGTCTAAGATGAATTATTGTTATCTGGCTCACATGTTTAGTTGAATTTGTAAATCATTCATCGTGTTTCTGTAGGTATTTGCATTGAAGTTTGAATTTGCATGTATATAATGCTAGAATATTGCACACACAGTTGTTGTTCCATCCGCATTCCAGGCTTTTTTTTTTATTTTATTACGTTGTATTTATTATTTACTTGCACACTATGGTTTATGTACTTGCAATAATGTTTAATTATATATAGTTTATGGTAGATTACCAGTAGTTGTACATTTGTCCACACAGGTGAAGTGGATTCGTATCGTTTGGATACTTCTCCTGGTTTGACAAAATATTACGTCCCTTTGTATGAAGATTCAGTTAAGCCGTCTGTTGGGAAGGTTTTTCCTAATTTGGATACTAGGGTTGCATTTTATACTAAATATGCATCGATTGTTGGGTTTGATGTTCGACTAAGTCACTTGTCAAAATGTGCTGATGGGACCATTGTTTGGAAGTATGTTCTTTGTAATCGAGAGGGCCATAAGCACGTTGTTTGTAGGGATAAATCGTCAGTAGCAGAATTGGATGGTGATGCGGAGTCTTCGGTTAAAAAGAGGAGGAGATTTTCAAATAGGGTTGGGTGTGGGGCTTGTGCTATTTTTAGATATGGAGGTGATGGCACTTATGTTATTCACAGGTTTGAAGAGCGTCATAACCATTCATTGACATCAGTAATGTCAAGACAGTTTCTGAAGATGAATAGAAAGGTTGGACCTGGTCATATGAGGTTCGTTGCTGATTGTGGAATAGTGAACATTAGGCCAGTGCAGAGTTTTCGGTTGTTTGGTGAGATGTTTAGTGGGTTGGCAAATGTTGGTGCAACAAGTTTGGAATTTCGTAATATTAAAAGGGACGTGGACGCATTTTCTGCTGGGGTTGATGCACAGATGATTGTGACTAATTGCTTAAAAAAAAAAGAAGTATGTCCAGCTTTGTTTTTTGCATTTGATGTTGATGAGTATGACCACTTATCCAGATTTTTTTGGGGTGATGCGGTTTCTAGGAAGAATTTTAAACTTTTTAGTGACGTTGTGTCATTTGATGCCAAATATCAGACAAACAGGTTAGTTTTGGTAGTGTAGGGCATAAGTTTTATATTCTGTTGTGTTATTGGTCATATTTTTGGTCATAATGCAAGTATATATGTTTATAGGTGCAACTAGTCTACACTAAATGCGCATGTACTCTCTGACAAACTTTACATTTTTTTTCCAGGTATGATATATATGGTGTTTACACCATTTACTGGTGTCAATAACCATAAAAAGTCTATTACTTTTGGGGCTGAGTTGTTGACAAAAGAGGATATTGAGTCATATGTGTGGTTGTTTGAGAAATTTAAGGAAGCGATGGGTACTGAGCCAGTATTGGTTGTTATTGATCAAGATCCAGCAATGAGGGTTGCATTTCCACGTGTGTTCAAGGAAGCTAAGCATAGGTTTTGCATGTGGCACATTATGTCTAAGGTAGGAGATAAGGTTGGCCCTTCATTGAGTAAAAATGAGACTTTTAGGTCAAAGTTGAATTCTGTTGTATGGAGTCATTATTTGGAACCAGCTGAATTTGATTATCAATGGAATGTTGTCATGGAGGAGTTTGGGTTGTTGGAGCATAGTTGGTTTGTCAAGATGTATGATCTTCGTCATCTTTGGATTCCTGCATACTTTAGTGATGTTAGTATGAATGGTTTAATTAGGACTACATCTCGGTCGGAGAGTGAGAATAGTTTCTTTGGTTCTTTTACTACTCCTCAGTCCAACTTGGTTGAATTTTTTATGCATTTTGATCGTGCGATTGATAGTCAACGCTATTCTATTAATAAACTCAACAGTGACTCGGTGGCATGCTTTCCAGATTTGAAGACACCACTGTCTATGGAGAAACATGCTACATATGTGTATACTCTTACAGTTTTTTATTTGGTGCAAGCTGAGATTTGTGCAACATGTTTTAGATGTCGAGTTCTAAATGTTCGAGATGACCAAGGGGTCTTGTATTATGATATTAAAGACGAAAATGACCGAGTGTTTAGGGCGGTGCATAATGTTGCTGAAGTAAAATCTTCATGTGGATGTAAACCGTTTGAAAGGGTAGGGTTGCTTTGTAGGCATATTTTTGTAGTTTTCAAAGATTTGAACTTGGATTCAATTCCATTGGTCTATGTAGTTAACCGGTGGACCAAGAGTGCATCATTAGGTCAAACTTTTGATATTGATGGTGTTGTTGTTGATCAATATGGAGGTGTTGATGAGAAGTTGGTGATATTGAAAAATGTGTGGTTAGATATTCAATGCTGTGTTAGTATGGTTCAGTCTGACATTGATCGTTTGAAAGTGTTTTCCCAGATCATTAAGGACCACAAGGATATGCTTTTGGCTGATAAGGGTGGCTGTTCTTCTACTGTTGATAAGAGGTCAGTCATCGAGTCAATATGTGGTTCTTCAGTCCCTTCCGAAGTTTCCATTCTTCCACCAAACAAAGCGAAGAACAAGGGTAGTGGTAGGCGCATTAAAGGTTGCAAGGAGATTGCCATTGAACAAGTAAGAAGGAGAGGACTTGCAAGACTTGCAACAAACCTAATCATGATAGTAGGAATTGTGTGTTGAGGAAAACGAAGGATAAGGTGTAACACCCCGTGTTACGGCTCCTAAAACCAATTAATCATTTAATCAATTACCCAAAAGAAAGGACTAAATTCCAATAATTAATTAAGAAAAGGCCCACCATAGTCCATGGGCCCTTATCCCTAAACCCAATCCCCTAGTTCTAGAAGGAATAGAACTAACCCTAATTAGAGACTCTTAGGTATATAAATAGGGGGCATAGGAGGCACCTAGAACCCACACCGCAATAATCCCTCACCACACAAGAAGTTCAAAGAATCCCCCTAGGAGGAATCAAGAAAGAAGGAATCTTAAAGAAAGACCCTTCATAGCCAAGGAAATTAATTAAGGCTAAGAGGTAACCCATGTCTCAACAAAACCTATTTTCCTTGCTATAATTATCTTCTTTGGCCTCCTCTCTATACTTGTGTCTTGATGAGTCATTTATGATATTGATGATATGATCTTGATGATTGTGAGATGATTTTATATGTGATCTTGATGATCTTGATGATGATAAGAGGTTCTTGATGATTATGTGATGTTCTTGATGAATCTTGATGTTTTGATGATTAAAAGATGAACTATGATTTTATTGATTTAAATATGATTAGAGCCCTAGGTTAAAATTGGGAATTTCGTATTGTGTTATTCTTGATATAATTGGGTGGAATTTCGCATGTTCGGGTGTTGATTATGCTTAGAAGTCATGATAGGATATGTGCTATATGATTCTTGCTTTTGATCCGTTAATTGTCTACGTGGTGTCATCAATTGCGTTTAAAGGTGTATAAGCATGGTTTCGGGTTCCACAACAAATCTCGGGACGTTATTTTGATAAAGAGTCAGTGGGGGGTAGGTGGGGGTAGGGGGACCCGCCACCTACCCGCTGCCCGAAAAGGGCGTCGCCGGCACCGGGCAGCCGGCAGGCAGGCGACTACCCACTGGGCACCCGCTGCCCGGAGACTGGTCGCCGGCGGGTGGCCTTCCACCCACCGGCTACCCGCTGGAAATTGTCCACTTCGGGACTCCGGCTTCCCCGTTTGACGTTTCCCCCGACCCTCGTGGTGTCCCAACGGACTCCGTTTATCGTGCCTAAGTCTAGTTTGATGTTTCGGTATCGTTAGTAGGATAAATGAGTCTTATATATCGCATGCTAGTTGAATTGGTATCCCGTTGGCCCAGGTGAAAGAAGTATGAACCCCTTAGGACTATTCCTAGTTTGTGGATGACCACCCATAGGTTTCTTTATACGTTTTCTCCCCTTTCCCAATGTGCTAATATGAGTTGCATGTGCTTGCTATGTGTTATGTGTGCATGATACCCCAATTTGGTTGCGATCAAATTGGTTATTCCAGAGCTGCGGTTCAGAAGCTGGCTGCGGTCAGAATTACACTCCCGGGCTGCGGTCCACCGTTTGGTTGCGATCAAACGTTTTACATGAGCTGCGGTTCATATTCCTGGCTGCGGTCAGATGACTACTCTTGGGCTGCGGTCCACTGTTTGGTTGCGATCAAACATCATGATGAGCTGCGGTTCATCGGTCGGTTGCGATCGACCCCTTCGTATTGCGATACGAGGCAGGGTGCTGCGGGGCCGTGTCAGAGCTATATGCGCTGACCCTCATTTATGGGCATGCGATTGGTCCTGTGGCGCCACCAAAGTGTGCTTGTGTGTGATGAGATACGAATTGGAATGATGATATGAATGAGATGAAGTGAATCTGTGACCATAGGATATATGCTAGTATCTTTATATGCTCGGTTATAACTGTTGAATGTGCTTATCCCTATCTGTCGAGTCTATTCCTGGTTTTAAAACTAGCGTCTCCTAAGTATATATCTTCCTGCTTCAAAATGACTTTTCGTATATCTATATATATAATTATCTATAATGTATTTCAACGCGTTGGAGTGGGTTACCAGCATCTCTCGTTGAACAGATATATTTGGCTTTCAGGCATAGAGGAGTAGACACTGGAGCGCGATAGAGATTTGGAGCGTAGAGTAGATAGTTTCCCTTTCGGCCTGCGTGCCATGCTTATGTATTTACATTATTGAGGATATTAGTTAGTTAGCCTGTGCACCTGGGTTCTCTAGCCCAGGTGTGGCATAGCACCCCGTACTCTACTATATTATGTTTTGGGATTTAATAAGAACTTACCGTTATTATATAAGTTTCAAAAGTTTTAAAAAATTTCGGGGTGTTACAGCTGGTATCAGAGCCTAAGTTTGACCCTAGGATAAGACCTCGAAGATCGGACTTTAAGACATTAGGCTTGAACTCTAGGTATTTAAGTACATAGGACTTAGGAGACTTATGACGCGTGGTGAGATTGTGAGTATACCCACCATCACATATCCCCCCTCACTCTTGTTTAAATTATTAAAAGAACTTCCCCTCCGCTTATCGCACCAAGGTAAGGGTACAAAACTCTAACTCGACATTACTATAAACATTGACCCAGTAAAAACAGCCGCATGGCACCAAACAGAAGACAATTAAGGACTCCGGAACCCGCCACACACGACCCCCTGACTCAAACCCTACAGCAACTAACACAAGTCGCCCAGACACTAAGCGACGTAGCTCTCCGCAACAACAGACCCCCTCCGTCAAACACGAATTCGGAAGTCGCCCGACAAGTTTCAAATCATCGACCACCCACGTTCTCAGGGGAAGAAGATCCCGTAATCCTTGAAGAATGGTTCCGGACCTTCGACAAGATTCTAGGATTTGTAGAATGCCCAAAGGAACGTCGTGTAGATATAGCCTCATTCTATTTCGGACACGAGGCAGACCTTTGGTGGATCCACGAGGGACCCACTTACAGACAGGAACCAGGGTTCGACTGGGAAAACCTCAAAACACGACTACGAGAACGATTCTATCCAACACACGTAAAAGCATCCATGCACGAAGAGTTCCTCCACTTGAAACAAGGAACGACCACCGTCATGGAATACCATAAACGATTCCTCGAACTAGCACGCTTCGCACCAGAACTAGTCCCCACTGAGGCAACCAAAATAGAAAGGTTTGTATCGGGTCTCAACTTCGAAGCCCGAAAAGCACTAGTAGTAAGCAGACCCCGGACCCTCAATGAGGCTTACTCCAGTGCCGCAAATCTCTATTGGATCCAATTACTGCAACGTGGGGTTCAGGAACAAATTCGAAAAAGGAACACAAGAGGTGGAGCACCACCTATAAAGAGATCGAGAAACGACGCCAACACAAGGCCAAGCCATCCAGTTGGCCAGAGGCCACGCCTAGGAAACAACGAAACTAACGCATGGAGCTTCCCTTGCCCAAAATGCAACAAAAACCATAGAGGCAAAGATTGCATGGGCAACCCCTGGCGATGCTTCAACTGCGGGGAAGAAGGGCACAAGGCCTTCCAATGCACTCAACCCCAGAAATCACGCCCCACAACCATGGGCCAACACGGGGGCACGAATCATCAAGGAAACTACTGTGCCCCCGGAAAGGTGTTCATCATAAGCCGCACCCAGGCCGAACTCGAGAACGAAAGCAACCTCGAGGAAGGTGACATGGCTCCAGGGGATGAGGACCACGCAAACCCACCAGAAGAAAACCAAGGAGATGAATTCTGCTTAGGATAACTGGCAAATTCCTTGTAACCACCCTCGTAGTAGAATTACTTGCTTAGATTAGCTATTTCGGAATTACTATAAATAAAGAACTAAATCAAAATTAATTTTAGCATAAGGGAAAAAGACTAGATTATGCACGTCAACAACAAAAGGGGACAAAGACCAAGTCTTCTACCACTAGAAGACGAAAGAAGGAAAAAGACAAGGGTCACACAATGGAGAAGACTAATGTCACCAATGAGAATTGAACCCTAAGACCTCCCACTTCAAAACCCAAGTCCCTAACCACTAAGCCATGAGTGTTTCTTAAAAACTTAAGGGAACACTCCCTTCTTAAACCCCTACAAATCCCTAAAACCCACAAAAATCCTCAAATCAAAAACCCTTCTTCTTCTTCCACATTCCCTCACCCTCTCTCTCTCCCTTCCTCTCCCTCTCACCTCCCCGCCGACCCAACGACACCCCAGCAACCACCACTGCCCGTCGCCGCCACCAGCCGAGTCGCCGCCGGCCACCCAGGCGACGCACCACCGCACACCATCGTCGCCACCCGGAGGCAACCCGCAACGCCACCACCGTCCGTCACCCACCCGGACACACCCCGCTACCACACGCCGCACCACTGCCCGGTTCCGCCCAAGGCCACCGCCACCACGCCGAGCCATCGCCATAACCAGGCCGCGCCGCCGCCCGCTCGCCGTCGAGAAAGCAACGCCACCGGGAGCTCACCGGAACCCTCGCCGGAAGTTCATCGGAAAACACTACCCACCCAAAAATGCCGAAAAAGCCCCTCGGAACCCGCACCCCGGAATGGAGCAGCGCCGACTACACCGTGATTGGAGGTAAAGCTCTCGAACCCGACCAATTCTCTCCGGAGTTGGTCGACATGCTTAAATTCCAAGGGCTCTTGGATACATATCTCACCATAAAGGGGGAAACATACACCGAATTGGTGAAAGAGTTCTTGTAACACCCCAGATTTTCAAGACTTTTAAAACTTATATAATAAAGATAGAATCTCATTAAATCCCAAAATACGATACAAAGAGTACGGGGTGCTATACCACACCCGAGCTAGAGAACTCAGGTGCACAGGCTAAATTCTAAAACCTCAATCAGTATCAATACTAAATCATGGCACGCAGGCCGAAAGGGAAAACTATCTAAGCTACGCCCGAAGCTTCTAGCGCGCTCTAGTGATCTACTCGTCTGTGCCTGAAAGCCAAATATATCTGTTCAGCGAGAGATGCTGGTAACCCAGTCCAACGCGTTGAAATACAATACATATAGACATATATATAGATATACGAAAACCATTTTGAAGCATGAAGATATATCCTACGAGACTCTAGCTTTTAAAACAGGGATAGACTCGACAGATAGAGCTAA